ACCAAAAAAAAAAAAAAAAAAAGATCACGCATCTGTGTGTGTACTTTTACTTTCCTTGCTACTTGGGTGTATATAACATTATGCAAATAGTATCACACTACAAATGGTATTTCACATAATTTCATTCAGTCCTAGACCAATTCTGAAAGGATAGATTTCAATAAATGATCTTGGGTTTAGATGGTCCATGAAACAAACTGATATCAAAATCTTACTCTAGGACCAGGGATTTAGCTCAGTGGCATCATGCCTGCCTGGCAAGAGCAAGGTCCTGAGTTCAATCCTCAGTACCAAAAAAATTAAATCTTACTCCAGTGAAGAGCTATGAGAAAATTTGGTTCCACTATGTGTCACAATACAGCTTCCTCACCTCCCCACCTGCCCACCCACCCATACCAAGAATTTGAGATTACCCTAAATCCCTGGGCCTATCTAATAACCAGCATGGCCTTCCAAGTCAATTAGAAAGTCTAACTTCCCACCTTGCACAATGAAGCCCTTGGAATCCATCACTCCAAACACTTCCAAGTATTTCCTTCAAAGCATGTTTTATGATAAATGCACTATATACAACTTTTCAGCATTAGTCTGGTTCCAGCACTGTAACATCTCCAATTTACACAAGAAGAACCTAAGTACTTCAGTTGCTCAACTCATCCAGGCAACTTAGTGTCTTATGTGGTTAGGGCTGCTATAGTAAAATACCATAAACCAGGCAGCTTACAAACAACAGAAATTTATTGCTCGCAGTTCTGGAGGCTGGGAAATCCATAATCCAAGAGCCAGCAAACACGGTGTCTTTTCAAGGGCCTGTTTCCTTAAATGCCGCTTTCTCTTGTGTCTTCCCATAGTGCAGGGGCAAGGACACTCTCTTGGTCTCTTCTACAAGGTGCTAATTCCATTTATAAAAACTATGACCTCGTGACCTCCCAAAGGCCTCACCTCCTAATACCAGCACCTCACTAAAATCAAGTTCAACACTCAGACCACAGCACACAGTGACAGGTGAAAGCTTTAGTGCATGTGCCCTGGGGTATCACAGCTCTCTATGGAGTCCTGTTACTGAGAATAGTGACTTCTGCCAGATAGTAGTTTAGGTAAGTGTCTTATCTAAGGGACTCCTCAAGAGAACAGGACTGATTGGCTTCTGTTTTTAAGCTGACAAGTTATCTATAATGCCATCCTACCACTCTTTTTCTTTTTCTTTTTTTCACAGTACCAGGGATTGAACCAGGGCCTTGCAATTGCAAGGCAGTCAAGCTGCCATTGAGCTAAATCCCCGGCCCAGCCCTGTTACTTGTGGTGGTGACTCTTTCAGTGAATTGCAAATGTAAACCTCTTTACCAAGATGATGAGAAAGCAGTGGCTAGTCCACACCTTCCAATTCTGATTTACCTGGGAAGCAAAGTACTTTGTATTTATGAAAATTTTGAAATGCTCTAATTCTGCTTTGTAAGCTTTAGAGCAGACAAAATCCCTTGTAAGATTTCTTTTCTTCTTTTCTTTTCTTCAACTAGTGGTTCTTAGAGAATCTCAAGAGAATTATGTGGGGTGTATCTTTTAAAATACAAATAACTGGGGCCCATGCTCAGATTCTGACTTAATAGACTGGGATTTTGTTGTTTTTCTTTTCTTTTCTGGTGCTCAGGATCAAACTCAGGACCTCTTGCAGTTTAGTCAAGCACTCTACCCCTGAACTATACTACTAGCTCAGGATAGCTACATTTTTAACACGTATTTGAGATGACCCTGATATGAAGGATATAAGTGACATTTTAAGAAATTGTGTCCTAATCTTAAAGCAGTATATCTTTGCTTTCTATTTACTTAATCAAAATCATTTCTCACAAAACCATCATTCTTAAAAGCCATTGGTACTAATTTGCTGGATTCACTGTGCATGGGCCAAATAGTCTTTCATCCATACAAAACTCCTTAAGTACAAAAAGTTAATTATTTACATGTCAGATATACTGCAGATGCACCATAACAAGACAGTCATTTCTCTCTTCATATATAATTTAAATTTTACCACTTTATTTATGAATTACGTTATGGTGAACATATATTTGCCCACATCGTGGATTATTTCCCTAAAGATAAGTTCCTCAAAGTTGCATATTGAAAAGACACAAAGATATTAATGCTCTCACTACACATTTGCAGACTGCTTTCCAAAAATATGTTTAACAAATTTATAATCCCTTCAATAGCATGAAAGAGTGTCTTGCTCACCACAGTAATCCTTATATTAAATATCAATTTCTTTCTTAACAATGAGCAATTTTAAAACAATATAAAAAAATCATTAATTCATATCACATTATTCCAAAAACATTCCTGAAAAAATATTGTGTGGTAGTTGTTTTCTTTCTATGGAGACTGGTACACATAGGACGATGCAGTTATTTTCCCCGCACAAACACACACATCCTCAGGTCTACACTGTGAATACATGTACACACACAGAGACATAAACAATGATTCAGGTCTTGAGTCGATGTGATGTAATAAATACAAGGAAGGAATTTTTTAAAAAATATATTCTAGTGGTTTCTTCTCCCAATTCCTCTCCCAGTTGGAATGTAAGCTCGTCAGAAAGGCGCTTGCTTTTTCTATCCGAAGTACCTAGTCCCAGCCATGTTTAGTACTCAATGGTAGGTGGTAACAAGGGAGGAAAAGATGGAGGGGAGATAAGAAGGAGGTTAACAAAGATATGAAGGAAGCACAGTAGCTTTAGCCTGAAGATTTTATGAACACCCAATCCCTACTATCCTTAAGAACTATGAATTCCATTCAGATTCCCTGGGCTAATGTAGCCAACCCTTACTCCAAGGTTGCTGGTTCCATTGGTCTCTCTCTCTGCTCTGATGAACACTTCTGCGCTTTTCTCCAAATGCAATTTGTTCTCCAACAATTTTAAGAAAATTGAGTTCTTCAATAAATATATTTATTTCAATTCTATTATGCTCAACCAAAGACTTACCTACCCTTTCCCTTGGGAATTGTCCCAAACAGCTAACTGAAATACTGCATTATGTGCTACTCAAGCAGAGGATCAGGACAGGCACTGCATCATTCCACTCTCCCTGTGCAGGGCTGAGTCCTGATATTCTGGAACATTCCCTAGCTTCGTGCTCTCCTCCAGGCTAAACCAAGCAACACCTGTCATTCTGTATTTGAAACATCATCCCAAGGTACAAGACCCAACTGTTCTGTTCCACACAGCCTGCAGATATGGGCATACGCGAACAAAGCCCCTGTTCAACTCTTCGGATGTCCTGAAGTTTATGAAGGCCTTATCTCTCTATAATGGATTGCATTTTTGGAGAACAACATGAAAGTGTTTCCAGCTCAGTGTCACTCAGCCCCTGTGCGGCCATGTTATTGATTTAGGCTG